ATGATGATTTTGGAGATTGAGAGCGCCTGGAAGGAGAAGAGGCGTAAAGAAATATTTGTGAAATTGAAATATAAGTATTTTGAGTATCGTATCTTCGCAGGCGATTTCGTGAAGGCGAAGATATGCAGGCCCTTCGGGACGAGTTGAAAGCGAAGGATGGTGAGTTGGTGAAGGCCATCTAGAAATGCAGTATCCTTGAGGGGACGTTGAGGAGTAGGGGAGAGGAGCTTGAGGTTAGCAGGGGTGTAGAGGCCCAATGCAATGGCCCTTAAGCTCAAGTGGTCAAGTTGCGGGGACAGTTAAGAGAGTGCCAACTTCAGTTGGAGGCCCTCAATAGTGAGATCGCTGAGAAGCAAAAGGAGCTTGAGAAAGTGGAGTCCTCTAGTTTGGATGCTTAGAGGAAGATGAAGATTCTTGATTTGGCGAATAGGACCCTCCGAGCCAAGCGTGAGAACAATCAATCAACGGCGAGGGCTAAGGAAGATCGACTCGAGGAGAGGATCAGAGAGCTGGAGAAAGATAACTCCGTTCTTCATGATCGAGTGGCCACTTTGGAGGCCGAGAAGGCCCAATTACTTGCACAGCCGTCCTCTTCCCGTATTTCAGATTTTTCCAATGTACCTCGGTATATGAAGAATGGATTCATGCTGAGGCCTAGTTAGATGTATTTCGAGTTTTACATGCAGCGGGGTCCGTTTCTGAGACTGCCCTTGAAGGTGTTCGTGTTAAGGCTCGTGGAGCTCGAGTCACTTGTGGATATGATCCCGCTACGCCTGAGACCGATGAGGAGGATGGGGACGAGGGTGTAGACCGGCTTGAAGAGAACGCCTGGTATGATACCACTTATCCTGAGGGCAAAAGTGGCGATGACGAGGGGGATCGAGATGGTGAGGGTATCAGTGGTTAGGGTGGTGATGCCGTTGACGACCGAGCTGGCGAGGGCATTAAAGGTCGTGATGGCGGCGACCGATAGTTTTCTTTTTGACTTTTTTGTGTATTTTTGCCGGTATCTTCACGAGCTTTTGTAAACAGTTTACGTATGAAATATCAAAGTTGTTCCTTGCATTTTCTTCCGTTCCTGTGGTTTATTTTCTATACTTGTATGTTTTTTGCTTCTATTGTTTGCTCGTTTTTCTTTTTGTCCTTCTTATTGTTATTGTCTTTTAACTGGCCGAGGCCTTGGAGCCGAATATTCATAGGTCACGTACGTTTCTTCGTTGAGATGTGGCCGAGGGCCAATAAGTGTTTGTTTGAGCAAGGTCGAACATAACCTTTCGTTAAATTGCGGCTGAGGGCCGGTAGGTGTTTGTTCGAGCCTAGTCGAACATAACCTTTCGTTAAATTGCGGCTGAGGGCCGGTAGGTGTTTGTTCGAGCCTAGTCGAACATAACCTTTTGTTAAATCATGGCCGAGGGCTGATAGGTGTTTGTTCGAGCCTAGTCGAACGTAACCTTTTGTTAAATCCCGGCCAAGGGCTGGTAAGTGTTTGTTCGAACGGGATCAAACATAACCTTTCGTTAAGTTGTGGCCAAGGGCCGGTAGGTGTTTGTTCGAGCCTAGTCGAACGTAACCTTTTGTTAAATCCCGGCCAAGGGCTGGTAAGTGTTTGTTCGAACGGGATCAAACATAACCTTTCGTTAAGTTGTGGCCAAGGGCCGGTAGGTGTTTGTTCGAGCGGGGTCGAACATACCTTTTAAATCGCGGCCGAGGGCCGATAGGTATTTGTTCGAGTTTAATCGAACATAACCTTTCGTTAAATTACGGCCGAGGGTCGGTAGGTGTTTGTTAAAGCTTAGTCGAACATAACCTTTCATTAAGTCGCGGCCGAGGGCCGGTAGGTGTTGTTCGAGTAGGGTCAAACGTAACCTTAATACGAAAAAGGTGTCCTGATAAACGTAAGTTTCTTATTACTTTGACATTGTTGCTTTGGTTACATACTTGGAGAAAATTACAGATTTTTGGTGTTTGCTGGTGTTCCAGTTCCAGTCTACCTAGTCCCTTCATTGTTTGACTTGTAGAGTATTGAGGAGTTAAGCAATGAAAATGTAACAACGGCCCCTCTCTCGCGTACTTCGACTCGAAGTGTTCCTTTCGCCGCCTCGTTAAAACCCTCCTTGAGAAAACCCAAATGGGACAAAACTCAAGTGAGGGAAAAAGAGTACGACTTGGGGGACACTTTTTCTCTCAGAAGTTGAAGTATATAAGGTAGCTGATGTTTCAATTATTTGGTAGTTGCTTTCCTTCCATTGTTTCTAGTTGGAATGGACCCTTATTCGCTTTGGCTGTAATTTTGTACGGACCATCCCTGTTTGTTCCCAGCTTGCCTTCCCGGGGGTCTTTGCTCGCTTGAGTTTTGGCTTTTAGCACGTAGTCCCCGACTTTGAGCGGCCGGACCTTTGCTTTGTTGTTGTAATAACATTCTTCTTATTTTTTTTGGGCGGCCATCCTGATGTACGCCATATCACTTCGTTCGTCAATTTCGTCGAGTTCCTGCCTTCTGCTCTCATCGTTATTCATACCGCTTTCGTGGGAGTACCTTAGGGTAGGTTCTCCGACCTCGACTGGTATTCTCTGCTTTAAAGTCAAAGTGTATTTTACAAATGAATCTCACATGTCCCTTATCATTATATCTCTTTCTATTTATAGGGAACATGTTCCTAAAAATCCTAACAGTACAAGTGCAGAGAATATCCACTAGAATATTCTCTTTTATGTCCTATCTTGAAACTAGCCGTTATAACTCTGTCAAGGGTGCTCGATCTCGGCCTTGATCCTTGATGACTCTTCGACCACGGCCTTCATTGTTGATTAGATCACTTCGACCCATGGCGACCTGGAGATGCTTTACCGATGTCATTTTGACTTATATTCTAGAGATAGATTTTGACTCATACAACATTAATTAAAGTAAATAAAAATGGATGTACTTCATAGTTCTATTAGATATTACATCCCATGAGAGGATCCCAAGTATTTCTAGGCATTTTTAAAGAAAATTCTATATAAAGTTTTAAAAGTATATATAAAAATTAAATATTTATATGTCGGTTTGGTTCGGATTTTTTTTTCTTCTCAATACCAAACCTAATCTCATTTTTTAATCGGTTTGGTTTGACTTTTCGGTTTGGTGTGATTTTTCGGTTCGGTTTGAATACCCCTAATTGAAGCTAGAAAGAGTGTGTACGTGCAATCTAACATACGTTCAATATTTGGTTAATTGTTTTTTTTGTTTGCAAAATCACTCTTGGTTCTATGACATTCCATTTGCATCTATATTGCACGCGATTATGACCCTACAAGATGTGTTGGCCGAAGCGAGGTTGCTATGCCTCGCATCGTCTTTCCAAATTCCAAGCACGGAAGAAAGTGATCGGTGACACTTGTATCAGAGCCTCGACTCATGATCAAAGTAAGGCGCAATATTAGAGCAAAGCCAAATAAAAAACATGGTGCCGTCCTCTCTTAGCTTGCAGCTTTTAATAAAGCAAGTAGAATCAAATGGTAACATGATTCGTCCAATCCTTTGAAAGAACAACACATTTACAAAACCTGACAATTACGATGTAACATTAGTCATTATAAACACATGATATTTCCCTTGCTCCATTTTTGGTTCTAGATTGTGGTCCAATACTGCTTGTTAAGCATTTTCCTTTTTGGCACATATGGTAGAGGATTTTGGGGATCTGTTCATACGGTCTATTTCAGAGCAGTATAAATATGAAAGGGTATTCAGAATGATGGAGCAACAACTCTCTTTTCCTTTTTATTTCTTCTACACAAAGTATCTTCTTAAATGTTACAGGTAGGGAGGTTATTTCACTTGTATTAAACTTGTTTCGTGCTTGTTAGTCTTACTTTAGTAGAATTGATACACTATCAGCACAAAGCAGAATATTACAACTTTGTGACCGACCATGGAACGCGATGTCGATATCCCAACAGCAGAGTGTTGAATTCAAGAGTTGCAAAGGGACAATCTTGGTTTTGCATATTACCACCTGTCTTTGTGAAGTTCACGCTGGTTTATCGCTTGCAGGCTCAAAAGAAACAACTCTACAACTCAAAGAAGATTTTGTTGTTGCAACTAGCATCTCTAGGGATTGAGTATATATAGTGCTGATTAAAGACACTAGAGACTTTTTTAAGGAGTGCTAGTTCCTGGACAGTAAGTTACAAAAGATGATGAGCATTGATGATGAAGATGCATGGGACATTCTAATAAAGAAGGTGGGTGCATTGTTGTTTGTTGGGAAAACAACTGACTCAAGAATAGAAGATAAAGATGTAAGGTCTTGGCAAAATTCTGAGTGGAGTTGATGTTCTTTTTGGCTCCCTTTCATGACGCAACAGCTCACGTAGAGTGTAAAAAAAAAAAAGAGGGTAAATACAATTCCACTGCCAATACAAGGTAGTGATGAGTTAAACTGCTATCGTTGCCATGGAAGTTAGCCCAGTAAACTAATTCCATTCTGCTGCTAGATGAAGTCAATGCAGATAGAAAATAAAAGGTTTAGTTGAGCTAACACTGCCAATTGGTAATGATAGACCTGCAATTATCATATTCACCAGTTAAGAATATGGTACATACAAATACAACATAGCCAAGCCAAGTATGAAGTGTATTGTCTGATGGAACGCAATCTCTGCTTTCAGAACATACAGATGGTCCGCCACATATTCTAACCTAGCATTATATCAGCAAAATCACCATGGGGAGTGGTGCTCATCAGAAGAAGCTTGTCCACGAAATTGCTCCAAATGCAGTATGATTGCTTCCCGATACGTATTTTGTATAGTTATTCTGAATACTAGTACAGTAGTGACACTAACTGTGACTATCCAAGTTCTATGAGGATACTACCAATCTAATAAGCTTTCGGTGTCAAAAGAATTTTGTTGTCTTCAAGAATGAAACGTTAGACTTTTGGCTTCATGTGTCAAAACACTTTCCATCAAAGCTGGTCTCATCCTACACATAACCTTGAGTAAGAAAAAACTTTTATCTTCGGCGTTTTGATTCCTTGCGCATCTCTGCCACATAGCTTTCGAAGTTGGACTTCTCCCAAAGTCGTCTTTGAATAAGATCTTCCTTGGTTGATTCGTCTGATAAAAGAAGCATGAACATTGGAAGAAACATAAGCAGTGAGGAAATGAAAAGAAACTTTCTTCAAAACACTATATCGGAAGTATGCCAAGTAGCAAAGGTCGAGGAGACATTCGTTAAAAGCATCAGCAGTGGCATATACAGCCTTCATCACTTATATATTTCTTAAGATTTACACAGGCATCTGAAATACTTTTTGGTTTCAACTTGGCCATTTATATTATTCAAAATTGCCACTTTGTGGCATCCTTTCATACATTCAGATTAATGCCCATGTCAATTGACGACTAATACCTAAGCTGTCTTGCATGAATTTAACCCAAAAATAAATTGATGAGTGCGAAGGATCATAAAGAGATTAGGTAGTGGAGAAGACAGAGCAACACATGTTGTGTGCTTTATAGTTGGTTTTTGAACTTTTTTCAGTTTAACTCAACCAACGTGACAGATATTCTGTATTTGGAGAATAAAAAGGCCTCACTGAAATTTCAAAAGTACAAAACGAATTGATGCAGTGCCAGTTAACATCTATGGTTGTTTGCATTTTAGATTATTTTTTCTTTTGGGTATATTTCTTTCGCCGCACTTATATCTGTTTTTCTTCTAGAACTTAAAAGTTACCACTTGTCCCTTGATAGCTTCAGAGCAGGCAACCTAAATCAAGTGACTGATCTGACTAGAAGGTCCTTAAGAAGTAATCTGCGATAGCTAAAGATCATGATTACCAACGTAGATGGCAATGTGGAAATCTACAATTTCAGTCAATAACTAAGAACCCTAAAGCGTAAAGCCGGCAATTTAAGAAAAGAAAAGGTAAACAGAAAGAATGAATATGCCTAGTAGATGTCAAAATGAAAAGGAAAATAAGAACTTTATTTCAAGGTCCAATTCACCAATTAAAGAGATGGTTTACAATATGCCAACATAGTATAAGAGATTTTTATATAACATCCACCAGTTTGGCATCTTCAGATATGAGCACAAAACAAACCTCAAGTTTGAATCTACCTCACCATGATCAATTACTTTCAATCTTGAATGTTATATATTTTCTCTTTGATCAATTTCTGGAATACAATAAGATGCACGAATTGCACTGGTCATTGTAAGGAATTCCTCCTAATTAAGCAAGTCAATGGAGGAGTCGGGTATAGGGTGGTAGGATCTACCTCGCCCTTGGATTGATACTCAAATCATTTGGGCCAAATTCATTTTACTATAGCCATATTTTTTCTTATACACTTAAACTACACAGTGGACTATTTTTTCTCCTATTTCATCTAATTCAAATCAAATACCCAACACTACCACAAGTTGTACACATAGAACATGTTTGAAGATCAGTTTTAGTCTTACCAATAGATATCCATGAGTCAATAGAAATCCTAAGAGACCTTCGTGTCAAATAGGAGGCATCTTCCCACGAGTATGGAGCACGCTTGACATTGTACCTCCAGAACCAAGATCCATACCATAGCAACAGCTGCAGAAGATAGAAGAAGAATGTCAGCAACTCTGAATATATGATATCCATAGGCATAAAGTATCTTATTTTAAACCCTCTAGCAGAACAAACTATAAGCACAAGGAAATTTGGATATCAACAGACAAAGCCAAAATGTCTTTTTATTTCATTGTAATGCATAAAACACAAAAAGCTGCTACCTTTCCCAGAGTGTAAGGAAGAAGTATAAAACGGATTCCAATTAATTCCCAAACAGAAGGCTTTTCAGCTCCCTTTATGTCCAAGTTGAGTTCCTTGCTAAGTTCTTCCTCCACCTTCCTGTGATCACAAAATAGCGAATTCAGCGGATAAACCCAGATTTAGCAAATAAACAAATTTGAATGACAGCCTATATGAAAAGCAAGTATATTTTGTCAAGCTAAAGCCAGAAGATTCAAATCAGGTTGCATAGTCAATAAACGAAGAGATCTGCTCATACTTGTCCATCTGCTTGTTGCTCTTCTTCCTATTAGCAACTCCTCCAGTGCGTTGAAGCTCCAAACCACGTAGCTTGTTTTTATAAGCTGGTGTTTTCTTGACCATCTCAATAGCCTAGTAAAAGACGAAATCGCAATTTATAACACATGGTGAAGAAATAGTAAGAAGCAAGAAAAAAACTACTTCCATCTCCAACTATAGGTCACTCTCTTCTACTTTTTGTTGAAGTGCAAGGTAACTACATTTTATTTATGCCAGATATTACCATCTCCCAGAATTCAAAATAAGGAGAACTTTTTATTTGTTTTATTTTATTTTCATCATGATGTAACCTTTCAGCAAATTGCACTTCTTTTGGATCCCAACTGCTATTTTGCAATGTTCCCCCCCTAAAAAATAAAAAAACTCACCCAAGATCATTTCCATTGCAACTCAAACTAGGTAGCCGAAAAGTGAGAAAGGAATATGTAGAAAACCGTGGGCCCTGCTATAAAACATGTTATGAAGATTTATGCTTTATGATTTACTGTCGAATTTTGGGGCGTATCTTGGTGATCTATTATTTAAATAGTAAAATTGCAAAAAATGTGGTCTCCTACTCGCCTTAGAATTCAAGAAATAGGTAGCTGCCTCACATCAGTCTTATTTCTATAGGTAATTGGAAGCTACTGAATCTTCAGATGCTCATTCAGAATAGGGGAGAGTTTTGTGAGAAACTGAGAATCGTGGTTCAACTTGCTGAAGCTTTTGTGGCTTCTATAGCGATTTTTGCAGTCTTAGATCAAGGGCATTTAATGTGAATTCACAGAATCTCATCCTTCTCCCTCTTAATTTTTCGGGAATAGGCACAGTCAATGTCGTTAACTTTACCTATTTAAGATTTGCAAAGCATAGCCAGTCCCAAGCCCCGACAAAAGGTGGAGGGTTGCAACAGGTTAATAGCTAGAGTAAAAGTAGTAAAACTATGATTGATTTTTTCTAAATATGGATAGAGGCATGATAATTACTAATTAGATCTCTCTTAGTAATGCCTTTGTTTCTAACATTCTATTGGATCAACATCACCACAAATTTCTCCTTGTTCTCCAAACTCTTTATGGATCAACTCTCTGTTGTTGTCAGTTGTCCTAATTAAACTCCTCAGAATACACTACTTTCTAACGTTCTAGCCACAGAAGAAGACTTGAACAATCCCAAGAATCCCTATTCGCTCAGCTTTCAGTTCTGGTGAATCGTGTACTTATCCTACGATAATAGGTGAAACAGAACAGGGTAATAAGAGTAACATTGGCTAGAGGCTAGAACTGGCCCAACGATGTTGTAGTTCAGCTATTGATTACTAATCGCAAGCATAAATCATCTAAAGATGCATATCGTACACAAATTTGGCAAGAAACAATAATTATCTCCAAACAATTAATCACACCTTGTAAGATAGGAACATAAAATGATGTATCTTTATATCAGCTATGCTTACCAAGACAAATACTCAAGGCAGACAGTCACCTATGCAGAATGATTGCTCATATAATCTCACCGATCATTATAGAGCTATTCTTTTCATTTATTGCTAAGGATCGTGTTGCTCTTAGATCATCAAACTGAAACTTGAGTCATCACTTGAATTTTCAATCATAAAGCCAAAATAAATGGAAGAAATCAAAGCAAAACAAAAATCATGACAGCATTCTTCAGTTTCCAGGCTAGAATTAAAAAGCTCTTTTTTAACCAGTAATTGCTGATGCAGGTAGCAAGTTGAAAGAAATCCTAGCAATGAATGTGTACTGTTACTTTACTTGATTATATCTTGTCCACTGATTCAGATACTGAAATGATGAGAGTATCAGAAGAAGACCAATGAGGACAGCACGGGGATCCTACAATTTAAAACACAAACAGCTAAGTGAGCATAGAATCAACTTAATATGTATCAATGAAATCTCAAGCTCAAAGTTTCACCCATATGAAGTGTTATGGACAAAAGAAAACAAATATCTGGCAGGAAATAGGAAAAGGCTCTCACAGTTTTGTGACCATAGTAAGCATGGTAATACCGTGCCGTATTGTAGAAAAACTGAAAATTCAAAAGCATGAATAAAAGACATTAGTGACCTGACTATCATCTGTTAATTGAGAAGTCTAATACAATTTCCCAAGATAGTCAAAGACAAAAAAATTGAACCACTAGGACTCCTCATCGTAATTCTATGAATTATTGTTTATGCAAACAATATCTAAATGGAAACTAACCTCCTCTGGATGGGCAAGTGCATAATCATACTGTTCCCTCGTGGCATCGTCTTTCAAAATCTACAAAGAAAAATCAGCCATTTAATATTTATCACAAAAACATACTACTCCCTCCATCCCAATTATATGACGTCCCAAACTGTTAGATAATGTTCCATTAAGCTAACTTTTAGTTATAAGTACTATAATATTATACTCCATTACAACTAATATAGCAAATAATTAACATCTTAAAACCCCATTTCCTGTCAAACAACTCATATAATATGGGGATGCCGAGGAGGATGTAGGGTATTATTAATGGGTTCATACTAACCCGGTGGCTTTGACTCATACCATGTATGTGTATGTAAAAAAGCATTGATTTCGAACCCAGTAATCAAATAAGCTGTGGTAGAATCCCAAACTCTAACCCACAAAGTTCAAATCCTGGATCCGCCTTTGATGGGACAAAGGGAGTATTGGTTTTAGATCAGATGCATCTCACTTAATGAAAACACATTGTGCTGACCAAGGGCCACAAGAAAGTTCATTTTTCTATACAGTATGAAATTAACACTCCATTAGGATTGACCCAAATTCACTCCAGTTATGCCACTTCCATCTAATTCTTTCCTCTTTTTTTGATTCATTGGAGGCTGTGCTGAATTTTGAATTGGCGCCTTTGTTAATATATACATATAACTGAAACCATAATATGATGTGCTAACTGATGCATTACTGAAGCAAAACAAGAAAAAAGAAAACCAAAACCTGAAAAATAGATTGTAACCAGAATATTGATTACCTCATAAGCATTTGCAATTTTGACAAAAAACTTCTTTGATTCTGGATCGGGGTTTTTATCTGGATGACTAAACAACAAAATTATCAACAACTTCCAAATTAACCAAAAAAAATGATAAGAATATAAACAGAAATAGGAGAAAGAAAAAAAAATTACTGTTTCAGAGAGAGCTTGTAATAAGCTTTCTTGATTTCAGAAGCATTGGCATTCTGAGTCACCCTATCAAAATTTCAAAAACAATAATAATAAATAAGTGGAAAAATAATGAAAAAAATGAATTTAAAAAGGATATATAGTGTAATTGGGAGAATTGATTACCCAAGGAGATCGTAACAGTCATCTTCATCACAGTAAATGGAGGAAGAAGGCTGAATCAGAAGGGAGAGCACTATTGCTACTGTGAGCGCAAACCACTGCATCATCGCTCTTCTTGCCGCCATCTCCGGTCGTCGGCTTTTTTTTAAATCTCTGTCTCCGACAAACTCAGATTGCGTTTGTATATGAAGGCTGCTTCTATATGGGCAAATTGACGTTTCTGTCCTTAAATCGTTGACTTCTTTCAGTCAAATCAGCTCAACAAGTTTTATGATTTCAATAAGGTTCGTGCTATATAATGTCAATCATTCTAGTTTTTCTGATATAAGTTATATTCTTTATTCTAGATAATTGAAATTTAATACGAAAAACTTTACTTACTTTTGATTATATAAGGGCAACTAATTAAAAAGTGATTAAATAAATTTTTAACCAATTATTCCATTCATTCTATTTTATGAGGCATTATTTTTTTTATTAGTCTGATCCCAAAAATGTATATTTTTATATTTAGATACAATTTAATTATAAATTTTTTATCATAAAAATCTTATGACATATTAAAATTCAAAAGTTATAAATTATTTCTTTATGTCTTCAACTTGTATTTAAGCTCCACAAAATCAAATAATGATCCTCTTCAATTTTTTCCAAACCTAACCAATCCAAATAAGCACTGAGTCTTTAATTTATTACAACACATATGCCATTTTTTTAATTTTATTGTATGCTCATAATTTATTGGAAGAAGAGAGGAGGAAAGAAAAATGGAGGATAAGAACGGGTGTCTTTTTTTTTGTTTCCAAACCGGTGTCCGGTACCCGCGGATTCGCGCTGCGTAGAGCCCCATTCGGGGGGAAACGCTCCTTACCAAGATTTTTCCATATCCAGGGTTCGAACTCGAGACCTCTGGTTAAAGGAAGAGCAGTCTCATCCACTGCACCACATCCTTTGGTGATAGAAGAACAGGTGTCTATATTTAGTGAACTTTTAAAATAGGAACAAAAATTAAACACCACCTTTAAGAAGAACAACCGGTGAAAATGCTTGGTTTTTGTTTGACTTGCAACTTGAGCTTCATGGGCCAATTTTTTGGGCTAGTAGTAATGGGCTACTAAACCACCTTGGGCCTCATAGCCCATATCCGTCTGTCTACAACACTACAATCTTTTGGTAAAAATTGCATGGAACGCCCTATTTGGTCGCCCGTTTTTAATTTGTACCCATTTTATTTTTCCGTTTGCATCCGTAATCATTTTTTTGTTAAAAGCGTTTTAAAAAAGCGATTTTGTCCTTCTTTAATAAAAGACTATTGATAAAACGGTAGACTGCAGGACCAAACTTTAGCATGTCTTGGTATGAAATTTTAGCAAATGAACTAAATAACTTCAGCATGCATTAGCAAAAACTCATTAGAAAATTACATACTGCAAGACAAAAATTTAAGCATGTTTAGTCCGAAATTTTAGCAAATGAACTAAATAACTTCAGCATGCATTAGCAAAAACTCATTAGAAAATTACATACTGCAAGACAAAAATTTAAGCATGTTTAGTCCGAAATTTTAGCAAATGAACTAAACAACTTCAGCTTGTTTAGACTGAAATTTCGAATAAAACTCATGACAAAACTGTAGACTGCACGACAAAACTTCAGCATGTTTTGGTATGAAATTTTAGCAAATGAACTAAACAACTTCAGCTTGTTTAGACTGAAATTTCGAATAAAACTCATGACAAAACTGTAGACTGCACGACAAAACTTCAGCATGTTTTGGTATGAAATTTTAGCAAATGAACTAAACAACTTCAGCTTGTTTAGACTGAAATTTCGAATAAAACTCATGACAAAACTGTAGACTGCACGACAAAACTTCAGCATGTTTTGGTATGAAATTTTAGCAAATGAACTAAACAACTTCAGCTTGTTTAGACTGAAATTTCGAATAAAACTCATGACAAAACTGTAGACTGCACGACAAAACTTCAGCATGTTTTGGTATGAAATTTTAGCAAATGAACTAAACAACTTCAGCTTGTTTAGACTGAAATTTCGAATAAAACTCATGACAAAACTGTAGACTGCACGACAAAACTTCAGCATGTTTTGGTATGAAATTTTAGCAAATGAACTAAACAACTTCAGCTTGTTTAGACTGAAATTTCGAATAAAACTCATGACAAAACTGTAGACTGCACGACAAAACTTCAGCATGTTTTGGTATGAAATTTTAGCAAATGAACTAAATAATTTCAGCATGCATCAGCAAAAACTCATTAGAAAATTACATACTACAAGACAAAAATTTAAGCATGTTTAGTCTAAAGTTTTAGCAAATGAGCTAAAAATTTTCAGCATCTTTAGACTTAAGTTTCGGATAAAACTCATGACAAAACTATAGACTGCAGGATAAATAACTTCAGCATGCATTATGTCACGACCCCAAATTCCCACCATAGGAGGTCGTGATGGCACCTAATCTCTAAGACTAGGTAAGCCTATTAATGCAGAATAATAATAGATATCTGAAATAAATAAACTACAAATCAAATAATTACAACTCCTAAAACCCGGNTTATTTAAAGAAAATATTTTTTTCGAAATAACATCCCGCATTTTTAGCCACCCTTATCACACCGCGTGACTTCTAGTAGTTTTACCTATTAGCCACGTGTATCAAGCCACCCTTATCTCACCGCACTTGTTTTAATACCCAGACCTTATACCACCGCATGCGTATCAATATCACAATATATCACAATTTGCACCTCAAGTGCCCAAATATTTCAATTTGCCAAAATAAATCAACAACAATATTTTCCATAATAAAGAGCTCACGGCTCCATCACAATGAGCATGAAAATCTCACAAAATATTCGGAAATAAATAACTCAACAAAATAATATTTCAAAATTTTAATACGTTGCTTTAATACCAAATTTAAAATGTCAAATAATTCATATTAATAATATTTAATTTAAAGAAAATCACCCTTCAAATAATGCACAGAATAAAAGAAACCAAGTTTCAATTAAACAGGTAAAACAATTAGCATGAAAAGGTCAAGCAAATTTAAAGTATAAACATTTAAATCAATGATGAAGAATATAACAAGGTAAAATTATTTAATTAATATTCAACATCGATCTACACAATTTAAAGATATAATCTTTTATATTTAGCCCGCGTACACACTCGTCACCTCGTGTACACGACTTTCAACACATTTCAATTTATCATTTCAATACCAATCCTAGGAGAAATTTTCCCTACACAAGGTTAGACAAGCCACTTACCTCGACTTGCTCCAATTTAACCAAGTAATATGCTTTTTTCTTGATTTTCCGATTCCGATCGACTCGTATCTAGTCATAATTAATTCGATACAGTCAACAAAAATTGTAGAATCAATTCCATAAGAAAATACTACATTTTTAAAAATAAAATCCGAAATTAACTCAAAAAATATCCGTGGGGCCCACGTCTCGGAATCCGACGAAAGTTACGAAATATGAATGCTCGTTCAACCACGAGTCTAACCATACCAAAATGACTAAATTCCAATAACAATTCGACCCTCAAATCCTCAAATCTATCCAAGATGGTTTCTAAAATTTTCCAACTTAATCACCAATTAACTAATAAAAACAGTGATTGATTCGGGTAATCTAACCAAGATTGAGTTAAGAAAACTTACCCCAATTTTTTCTCTGAAAATCTCCCAAAAATCGCCTCAATCCGAGCTCCAAATCGTTAAAAATGGTTCGTCCCAATTTTCAGAACTTAAACATTCTGCCCACGCTTTTCTTCTATGCGATCGCGGCCAAAGGCACGCGATCGCGAAGAACAAAATAAGGTTGCCCAGAATTAACTCTACGCGATCGAGGATATCCCCACGCGATCGCAAAGCACAGAGTTCCCAGCTCTATGTGATCGCAACCCTCTACACGCGATCGCATAGAGCAAACGCGTGACCTCTACTTCTGCTCCGTTACTCTACGCGAACGCGACCTTCTTCACGCGTTCGCGAGTCACAAAATATCAAAGCTACGCGATCACATCCCGCTTCATGCGATCGCGAAGCACAAAACTCAGCAGCCCTCAATTAACCCTTCGCGATCGCATACCTTCTCACGCGATCGCGTAGAAGGAAACCAGAACCTCCAGAAACTAGAACTTCAGCTATCAAGCCAAGTCCAAAAATAATCCGTTAGGCATCCGAAACTCACTCGAGCCCCTCGGGACCTCAACCAAATATACCAACAAGTCCTAAAATATCATACGGACTTAGTCGAGTCTTCAAATCACATCCAACAATATTAAAAATACGAATCACACATAGATTCAAGCCTAATGAACTTTGAAACTTTCAATTTCTACAAACGACGCCGGAACCTACCAAATCAACTCCGATTGACCTCAAAATTTGCATGCAAGTCATAAATGATATAACAGAGCTATGAAATTTTTCAAAACTGAATTCCGACCCCGATATTAAAAAGTCAACTCTCCGGTCAAACTTCCAAACTTAAATTCCTATTTTAGTTATTTCAAGCCTAATTTAACTACGAACTTCAAAAAATAATTCTGAACACGCTCCTAAGTCCAAAATCACCATACAGAGCTGTTGGAATCATCAAAATTCTATTCCGGGGTCATTTTCTCAAAATATTGACCGAAGTCAAATTTAGCATTTTAAGGCCAACTTAAGGAACCCAGTATTCCGATTTCAACCCGAACACTTTCAAATCCCGAACCAACCATCCCCGCAAGTCATAATTTTCTAAAAGCACATACATGGAGTTTTATTTAGGGGAACGGGGTTCTAAAAGTCAAAATGACCAGTTGGGTCATTACATTCTTCACCTCTTAAATAAACGTTCGTCCTCGAACGAGTTTAGAATTATACCTGGAGTGGTAAAAAGATGAGGATAACAACTGCGCATATCATGCTCGGTCTCCCAAGTTTCCTCCTCGACTAGATAACCCCTCCACTGAACCTTCACGGAAGCAATGTTCTTTGACCTCAGCCTTCGAACCTGCCTATCTAAAATAGCCACTGGTTCCTCAACATAAGATAGATCCTTGTGCAGCTGAACCGAACTAAAGTCTAACACATAAGACGGATCTCTGTGATATTTCCAAAGCATAGAAACATGGAATATCGGATGAAT